TATATATATATATATATATATATATATATATATTATCATTTTACCCATAATAATGATAATATTTTCAAAAGTAAAATAATTTAGGAAATGAGTAGTTAATGGAAAGAGTAAAATAAAAAATATTGTCAGTTTCTTTTGATTTTGTATAGTAGATAAGTAAAAGTAAAAATATAGTTTAAGTATAGCGGACAAGTAAAAGTGAACGGAAAGGGTACTATTTAACTAAAGATCAAATATCATGGTAGAATGAATAGGATTTCACCGTTTTTAATTAAAAGTTTCGGAGTTCAAATCTCAAGAATAAGTGAATATCAAACATTAAATTAGAAAAAAAAATATAATTAGTGAGATGTGGTTGGTTAGAAATGTGAAGGTCAAACTCAATGAAGTTGATCTAAGAAAGTTGCTAAATGGGAGTCAGGGCATGACTCATGAGTGCTGTTAGAATATTAGTTCAACCTCCTTTTTTTTGTTATTGGTTTAAGCAAATAATAATTGATGTGAGGAGGTGAAAGTGCTATTATGTCCTCTTATTTTATTTTTTGAAGTCTTTTATAAAAAAGTGCATAAATTCATATATTGGGCATTATCAATCTTATCTCAATGTCTATTTCAATGTACATAATAGGATCTAGATTAAGAGGAGACATATTCAACTTTAACAAGATCAAGATTTGTATGATAGTAATAGATTAAAATTGTTTTATATTTTTTACTAGGGGTAGGAAATTGGAATTACAAAATATTTATACGGGATACAGTCAAATCTTTCTGTAACAGCTTCGTTTGTTTTGGATATTTTTGGTTGTTATAGCAAAGTGTTGTATTATTAGAGAACATATATTATAACATAACATGAAAATCGTTTCGAAAAAGCTTGGCTTTTATAATAAAGTGCTGTTATACATGGATTTTGTTATAGAGAAGTCTAACTGTACTAGGTTTGAAGTCCTTTTCACAATGTTTTCTTTGGTTAAAATGAAACATCAGTCAATTGACATAATAAAAAAAAAAGACATAATAGTTGAGAAAGATGTTCTTATGGTTGCATGTTTTAAGAAGAGAACCATGCAATTATTATTTTTTAAATACTATCCAATGCAAAATTTATATCTCTAATGACAAAAAGGGCCATTTTGAGATTTAGTGTTTAATAAACAGTATAATGAAGTTGGAGACATTTCATTTACTAATAGATACATTAGCTCAAGGTCCACCTATGCATTACACTTAAATCATTTATTAATTTGGATGTTAGATACATCTCTGATTCTTCTTATTGAGTTTAAGAGTGTTTATTTCTCAATGGATCTAAATGTAATCTCCCTCCAACTATATCCCTTGAGAGAGTAGTTGATTAAATTATAACCAGAGAAGATTAGTTTGTCTGGATAAAGTTAAGTGAAGTCAATTTAAAGATTTATTACTAGTAGTTAGTTAACTGCTCAATCTTAAAACATATAGTCATAAGTCAATTTTAGTACAAATAGAAGAACCCCAATACGAGGTATTATTGTAACATTTTTGAAAAGGGATGCTTCATATTAGGGAAATTAGGCTAATTTTTTTAAGTTATAGGGAGTTTTAAACAAAAAGCCTATTAAAATAAAGTTTATTTTATATACACCATCGGTAAATTCTCAATAAAAAATGTGACATTAAGAGAGTGCAAGAAACATTTTAAGTTAGTTCTTTTTTTTTTTTTTGAAATTTGATTTATGAGAAATTAAGAAGAAAAGTGAAAGAGCAAGAATGGGAAATAGTCAGAGATGTGAGCGCTATGTAGTGCACCAAATCCTATGGCCCACTCACATAGATCTAACAGAAGATTAGGATTTATCATATAAGTAGGAACAGTGTTGAATTTTAAATGGGATAACTATTATTTAAATCATAATGACAACCAATATAATGACATGTTGACTAACTCTAATATTTTTAGTGCAAATGACAAAGAGTTGTTACGCGTAAAAATAATCACCTGCAGAAATATAAAAGAAAGTATATAGTCATTGTTGTAATTCCACCTATTACAAAAGTTAAATAGGTCGAGTTGCCCTTTTTAACTTTAGTATCCCATAACCAATGCATCAACTATAATTACACTTAGTTTCTCACCAACTCTACTCTCCCTTTCATTTGTTCCTTTTTCTTTTCATTTTTATATTTTGGGATATAGAGTAAAACTTCGTAGTGGTTTGGGGTAGGTAGAGAAGATGACATGCTGATGTCCCTATCAAAGTTGGCCTGCTGGTGATGTTGCTTTAGGTATGAAAAGCCAACTTCCCATGCCCACTTTTTTTTTTTTTTTTTCCTGCAAATCATAAGGGTAAGTATGTACATGTTGCCTTTAGGGCCGAGATAGTAGTCTAAATGTTCGACACAATGCAGTAGCTTTTGCTCAAATAGTATATTTGTGTTTAGAAATTTATAAAATATGTACATATATTAAATTCAAAATCCAATTATTAATACTTAAAATCATCGTTCTAAAATTCATAACCCATATAATTAAAATTTTTGCTCCACCTTTGATTGCCTTATCCTTGTGCTCTATGGCATGATCATGATATCTTGGTAGGTAGTCCACTACTGCTACTTGGCCTCCAAAACTCATGTGATTCAAAGAATGGGTCCATAATTATCCTTATTTTAGAACATATTTGCCAACTTCCAAAGTTTCCTTTTTTACTCCATTTCACTTTTCAAGAATAATTTTTTTTTTATAAAAAAAATGCTGTTCTTGGCAGTTTCTTGTTTTAGTGTTTTTCTCCAGACCAGAAACTATGTTTGGCTTCTAACTTGGATTTAAGAAAAGGTTAAAGAAAAAAGACAATCAATTATGCAGCTAGAGACTTTGTTTAGAAGTCATTATAGTTTGCACATGCTAGGGTAATAATTACCATAATATAGGAAATGTTAATTACTTTTATATCCAAAGTGAATTAAGTTGACATTGTTTGTTCTCATCCACAAGATAACTCTATAATAACTGCCTCAAGAGAGGTTGAACTTCTCATGTGTTGTTAGAAGTTTTGTGGGTTTGTTGGTAATTAATTAAATTTGCTAGATGTTGATTGAGTTAATTTAATGTTTATGAGTCTGAAGAGAGAAATTTTAAATAGTTTCTTAATAGAGTTGTTTAGGACAACAACTGGATATGTCTGGAAGATGGTGCTATCTCACCATAAAATAAAGATGAAAAGGTAAGTAAACAATAATCTGTTATGCTGTCTTTGTCTAGACCTTAGAGAGATTAGGAATTCATTCAACAAATAGAAGGACAAAAGAAAATTTGATGTCTTAATCTTTATATCTGTACTTTACTGCATATTGTCTGGTGGTTAATCAATACCAGAAAAATAAGGTGTAGCTTCAAAGTTGAAACACTCCATGTGGGACCCTCTCTTGATCCCATACCCCTTTTTATCCTTCTACCAAAATTCTCATCTTTGGTCACATTATCCTATTATATTTTTTATTTAATTTATATATACCGACAGTGTAAATAATTTTTTATGTCTTCATTGCATTTTAATATGTAGATTGTCATCTGATCTTATTTTTCAGGTTAATGGTTCTAGTTTGAACAATTATATATAATTGTTATTTAAGCTACTTAAAGATTCTTTTATATTGTCTGTGTATAAAAATTATACTCTATTTTTTTGGAAGGGAGTAGTGGGTGGGAGGGATGATTCTTGCATTATCTCAAACCACCAACTCCTTTTTATTTTCTTTTTCTCTTAGCACCATGTGGAGTGTGCACATTTGATGATTCAGAAAGACAGCAAATGGGGTGAAGCATGGAACAATTTTCCTCCCTTCTTAATATTTAAATTCTTAATATTAGGATGGATGAGCAAATGTAATGGCAAAATTTGTGGATATAAGAAATTACAAGAGCTCCACCAAAATGGCCTTTTTGATGGGATGTGGCAACCAAGTCTCTTTCCATTTCTGCTAGTGCTTCAAGATTTTGGCTAGTGTCTAATAACTTGTTTGGCCAAGCTTATTTTTGGTCAAAAGCTTTTTTTTTTTTTTGTCAAAAGCGCTTTTGGCCAAAAATTGAGGTGTTTGGTCAAGCTTCTGGAAGGAAAAAATGCTTTTGAGGAGAAGCAGAAGCAATTTTGGAGAAGCAGAAAAAAGTAGCTTCTCTCCAAAAACACTTTTTTGAGAAACACTTTTGAGAAAAATACACTTAGAAGCAGTTTTTTAAAGCTTGGCCAAACACTAATTGCTGCTCAGAAGTGTTTTTCAAACTAATTAGTCAAACACAAACTGCTTCTCCCCAAAAGTACTTTTGAGAAAAACACTTTTGAAAAAAGCACTTCTCAAAATAAACTGATTTCTACAGCTTGGCCAAACGGGTTATCTCATAGTTACAAAGGATATCGATTTCTGATAATCACTTTGCCCGATCCAATGGAACCCTCAGAGTTCATCCGACTCAAAGAAAAAAGAGAACAAGATGTGGGCGGGTTTGGTTGGGTGGNCTAATTGGATTTACTTATCTTTCTTCTTCAAAAAAATGTACACACAACTAATAGCACCAAGTAAAATGTTGGTTGATTCATTTACTATACTAGCTAAGTTACAACCCCCCCTCCCCCCTCCCCACAACATACAACAACAACAATAACAACCCAGTGGAATCCCACAAGTGGGGGTTGGGGAGGGTAATGTGTGCGCAAACCTTACCCCTACCTTGGAGAGGTAGAGAGGCTGTTTCCGAAAGACCCTCGGCTCTAGAGGAAGAATAGGAACAAGTAAATAACAACAACAAGGCCAGAAAAATGGTACCTTCAATATATAAACCGGGGGAAAAAAACAAATGGAAGAAAGCAATAGCACGAAGCAGTAACACGACAGAGTACTAGAAAAACGAAGCGAAAGACCGTACTAAAAAAACAACCCTAATAGTACACAGTATAATCACACTAAGGCTATAAATAATGATATAACAAAGTTTCATGCAGCAGAAATCTAATATCCTCCTCTGGTCCATATCTTGTCTGAAGAATATTTATGATGAAATAGATAAAAAGCAACAAGTAAAAGTGGGCATGAAGTGGAAACCAAATGATGATTAAGCCAATCCACCTAAGAAGATGAATTCAAGAACCAATTTTCACTATCTTTGCCCTTACTAGTCAACAAATGGTTGGCCAAAGAGTTTCACATAGTCTCCAAAGTCCAACCAACAATCATAACTACCAAAATTATCATGTTTGACAAATACACTTACTTTTTCTTCACATAAGGCAATCAAATGCCCTTCTAAAAAGGTATTTACTATAAAGGATATGATCTTTAATGAATGGTACTACAAAAAGATGACATCTTTCAGCATCAAGGTGATGCTAGAGGAAGTAAAGCCTCTTACTGAGGAGACAAAAAGGGAAAAGGAAAAAGCTCTAGGTCCTCAGCTAGTTTGAACTCAAAATTCTTGCCATTGTCTTGCAAGCTTGACATCACAAAAGCCTTCTGATAGTCACCTACTCCTCTCAAAGAAGTTGGCTTTGTCCCTGCACAGTCGAAGACTGAATTAGAAACTATAAACATGATCAAATTAAATCATAAAGGAAAATTTTACTATCCCGTAGGGTCCAGAAAAGAAGGTGGAATCCAAATAATCATATGAGGTTAAACATCAATTAACTTAATCACTTCGCGGATCCTATCTATGCTTTCCCAGCCACTACTTGTATGTTATCCTTCTAAAGAAAATGCAGAATTGCTACAAAACAGAGTCAGAACCAACTTTGTATGCATTGATACTTACTGAAGTGAAATAAATTCCATCCAATCAAAGGGGTTCTCAACATTATACTTCTTGTCGTACCCTAATGTAACCTGAAAATACGATTAACGAACTTGTTAGTTCAAGGAGAGTGATAAATTACATCCACTCTCAAGCAAAAAGCGCAAAGTAGTGACTTGGTATCAGGAGACGATAACAAATTTTATGTACTGACTCATTAGTTCTGCATTCATGCCAATCAATGCACACGGAAGGGCATCACAGACGAATTCAGTCTCAATTTCAACAGCTTCATGCACAATCTGATGAACTTTTTGCCTAGTCAATTGCTTTCTCAGAAAACTGCACAACAGAAATTAGTTAAACTACATCAAGTTATGTTCATCAAGCCATTTCTTCCCACTATTACTGAGAAGAAAGAAAGCAAAGAGAAAAAAAGAGAAAGAAGGCAAATTTGAAGGTTACTTGAAAGTTGAAACAATTACCTATAAAGAAGGCAAGCAAAGTCAGAGTGGAGACCCTCATCCCTTGAAATGAGCTCATTTGAAAAAGTCAATCCCGGCATCAAACCACTCTTTTTCAACCAAAAAATGGCACAAAAGCTGCAAACAAAATGAGTTACAGCGAGTAATATTAACCTTCAATACTACTAGTAAGGAGCAAATCTAATCATTCTAACTGGAATCATTTAGACCAAATAATGAATTAGCAGCATACCTTCCCGAAAAGAAAATTCCTTCCACACAGGCAATGGCTACAAGCCTCTCAGCAAATGAGCTGGAACTGCATGAAGAATGAAAAAGAGGTAACCAAAGGATGCAGTCAGTAAGTCAATTTTGGCCAGCACCATCAATTCTAGATATATAAAGATTGAAAAAACATATAGCGTATTCATTTTTGTATCAACATAACTTCAGAAACTAAAAAGCGAAATAATATAGATTTATCAAACAAGCTCCAGGAGAAAGAAGTAGGAAAAAAATAAAGAAGCAAATACGCCATTGAAGCAGTAAAAAGTCGTCAATTCATGCAAGTAATGCGAGTGAAAGATAAAGATCGGTTACGAAAGAATGAGCAACAATGGTACTTATCCAAGTAGTTTTTTCCCTGATACGGTACAGTGTCCGGAATAGTTAACCAGAACTAATTGTTTCTCATATTGCTTACATATATTAAGGGTCTTAAATATATACATTAAGAGCAGCAAGTTTAAAACAATGTATAAGAAAGATGAACTGTTACCTCTGTATCAAATTCAAGGCCCACTTGGCCTTCCGTGAGACGCAAGGAATGCTTTCAATTGCATTAAAAAGCTTATTTTTCTGCCTTGAGTCCTTGATACAAGTCTCCAGAAGCAAGCTGTACATCTCTATAAGCAGAGAAGCTCCAATCAGACATCTAAAGAGTACATAGTACAAACCCCTTACTTCTCTAAAAGAATAACAAGCAAAAGGAGAAAAACGTGTTGACTACACACACAAACAGTTAGAAAAGCTCTACCGGAGTGAATACTTTCCATTGTAATTTGAAAACCATAAAATGCGTGTGCCTGCGGAAAGAAGAATGATGTTGTCTGTAAAATCAGAGTTATTTTATAATAACCATATTGGCTAAACACCTAAAATATTGCTCCCTACCCTCCAAAAGTTCTTATTGTCAGATGATTAGCCATTTGAAAAACATGCTGCCAAAATGAGAATGTTTCTTACAAGTTCATTGGCAGAAGAGAGGTTAAGTATTGGAAAAAATGCATCAACAGCTGATTGAGTATTAAAACCATTCACACATTATTGGCAAGTTCCCCGCTTAGCCAGTGAAATGCAGCGATTAAGGGACAAGAAAAATATGCAAATTAATCTAGATACTCCCCTTTCCAGTAATGCCTAGTTGTCAGGTTTAATGAATGTGATATCCCCTCCAATATATTTAGGCACTGATGATAATTTTTTAGTATGGTGCTCCAACTATCCGTTTCTTTTTAGTTATTTAGAAGCAGATGTGTTAGCAATGAGAAATCTACCAAAAACAGCTTCCAGAAGTGTTATTCCAACAATATTACATAAGACAACTACTCCCTCTGTGTTTCAGTTCATGTGACCCTATTTCCTTTCTAATATGTTCCAAAAAGAATGAACCCTTTCAAAATTTCGAAATAATTGAACTTAAACTTCTTTGCCCTTCACTAGTGTCGGCGGAAGGGTGAGGCAGTCAAAGCAATGACTTTAGGCCCCTAAAGTTTTGAAGGCCCCATTTTTCACAAGTAGTAATAGTTTTATAAGTTACCACTATTTTTATAAAAAAAAAAAATCTGAATAACTTAAAGTAAAACGTATAATTTATAATAAAAAAGAAAGTAAAAAGAAAACTTATTGTTATTAAAGTTAACCATTAAGATTTGAATAATTCGAAACATGTGAAAATATTTTTGATTTTCTGTTTTGTGAGAAAAACTTTGAGATCACCAAAAGATAAGAATCTAAAAAATGCCTCAATCTCGATAAAAACATAATAGTCACTCTGATATTGATAGTTTAAACTTAATTTTCAATTATAAGTGTTAAAGAAAATATTACAAGTAGAAGACAGTACTCTAATCAATATACTCGATCAGAAAACAAGACCTGATTTTTTTCTCAAACACCTATATTACTCGTAGAATAATAATCCTATAACAGTTATATCTGCGGAAAAAAGTTTTTCTAAATTAAAATTGATAAAATTTACCCAAGATTAACGTCTTAGTAGAGATTAAAAGGATTAGTGATATGATCAGTTGAAAAGAACTAATAGAATAAGTTACTAATAAAATTATCAGTAACTTCACATTTTAAGAAGTTAGGAAAATAGACTTCAAATAAAAATATAAAGAAAATATTTTAGTAAAAATAAATAAATAAATAAATAAAGCCTCTCATCAAGATTTGGCTTTAGGCCACCAACAATGTTGAGCTGCCCCTGTCCTTCACGACAAGATTTCATCGCCGCACATATGTTATGGCATGTTTAAGACCACAAGTTTCAAAAGTTTTCATTTCTTTCTTAAACTTCCTGACCAGTCAACATGAAACGGATGGGTTGGGAACTGATTCAATTACTCTTTTAAGTTTATTGGCTGGATGAAGTTATTTACTGTGAGTTGAATAAATCTTTTACTAGAGTTGACAGAGTCTTTAGGTCAGTTGCTATTTTTTCTAATTTGGTTGCTGTTTTTATGGTCATTTCCTAGATTTTAGTCAAGTGGGTGTTATGGATAGATATTATCTTTACGAGCTTGTAATCCTATAAAAGGCACACCACTTTCAGTTAATAAAAAAAACCCTTCTACAGAATATCTCTTTTAGCTTCTCTGCATCTGCTTTAAGTTTTCTAGTTAAAGACAATCTCTTTTTCTACATTGTGCTATCAAAGCCTGCGTTCGGTCTTCGACTGGGCGATAGAGGGATAAGGAGAGAAACACGTGAGGGAGTGAAATACGAGAAAAACAAAAAGGTATGGCAGCAAATGCTATTTCCTCTTCTTCACAACCACTCATACCCGTCTTCAATGGCGAGAAGTATGAGTTTTGGAGTATCAAAATGAAGACCTTGTTTAAGTCTCAAGAGTTGTGGGACTTAGTTGAAGATGGGTTCGTTGATGTGGACGAGCCGGATGCAGAGGATGAGAGGATATTAAAAGAAGTCAGAAAGAAGGATGCCAAAGCTTTGTTCTTTATTCAGCAAGCTGTTCGTGAGACGATTTTCTCAAGAATTGCAGCAACAACAACCTCAAAAGAGGCGTGGCTGATCTTGAAAAAGGAGTTTCAAGGTTCTTCAAAGGTAATTACTGTAAAACTACAATCTCTTCGCCGCGATTTTGAAACATTGTTCATGGAAAATAATGAATCTGTGCAAGATTTTTTATCTAGAGTTACTGGGATTGTAAGTCAAATAAAATCATATGGTGAAGAGGTAAGTGATGAAACTGTAGTAGCAAAAGTTTTAAGAAGTTTACCTCCAAAGTTTGATCATGTGGTTGCAGCTATTGAGGAAACAAAAGACTTATCTATGTTTTCGTTTGATGAACTAATGGGCTCTTTGCAATCTCACGAGTCACGAATCAACAAGTCGATTGAGAAGAATGAAGAACAAGCTTTTCAAGTTAAGGAAGAGTCTCCAATTCAGAATGAGAAGTCGCTAAAGCAAAGAACACAAGGACGTGGTGGGAGAGGTGCTTTTAGAGGAAGAGGACGTGGTAGAGGCAGAGGCCAATTTGGACGTGGTAGAAATGGAGTGCAATGTTACAACTGCCACAAGTTTGGTCACATAGAAGCTAACTGCTGGTACAAAAACAATCAAGCTAGTTATGCAGAGAAAGAACAAGAAGAAAGCATGCTTTTTATGGCTCGCTCTACTATCATGGATCATAAGATTGGTGTTTGGTTTGTTGATAGTGGCTACTCCCATCACATGTCTGGAGAAAGGTCAGCATTCAGAGAGTTAGATGAGACAAAAATGAGGCGAATTTGGCTTGGAGATAACAAGGAAATACATGTTGAAGGTGAAGGTACTGTGGCTGTCCAAACGAGTCAAGCTAAAGTAAAACTTATTCAAAATGTTCTCTTTGCTCCTGGTTTGGCTCATAACTTGCTAAGTATTGGGCAATTATTGAATAGTGAATTCTCTGTCTTGTTTGATGATGGATTATGTGTTATTAAAAATAAAAAGACGGGTCAAATTTTAGCAAGTATTCATATGACAGAAAACAAAATGTTTCCTCTTGAAATTTCAAAATTAGAACAAGCATTGGTTGTTAGTGAAAGAAATCTTGAAGAATCTAAGTTGTGACATTTACGTTATGGACACTTGAATATGAATGGATTGATGTTGTTGAGTCAACATAAGATGGTTCATGGTTTGCCAAACATAAAATCTGTTGAAAATGTGTGTGAAGGTTGTATATATGGCAAGCAACATAGAAAATCCTTCCCTGTAGGAAAATCTTGGAGAGCTACTAGTTGCCTTGAAATTATTCATGCAGATCTGTGTGGCCCTATGAATACGCAATCGCTTGCTGATTCTCGATATTTTCTACTATTCACAGATGATTATAGTCTTATGAGTTGGGTATATTTTTTGAAGTTCAAATCAGAAACTTTTGCAAACTTCAAAAAATTCAAGGCATTGGTTGAGAACCAAATTGGTACTAAACTAAGGTTCTTCGTACAGACAGAGGAGGTGAGTTTGTATCTCAAGAGTTTAAGTTCTTTTGTGAAGATAATGGCATTCACAGGGAATTGACTGCACCTTACACTCCGGAGCAAAATGGAATTGCTGAGCGAAAGAATCGAACCGTAGTGGAGATGGCCAGAAGCATGCTGAAGAGCAAAAATCTTCCGAATCAGTTTTGGGCTGAGGCAATTCATACTGCAGTTTATTTGCTCAATATATCTCCTACAAGAGCAGTCATAGGTCAAACACCAGTTGAAGCTTGGAAAGGTAGAAAGCCGTGGGTAAGTCATTTGAGAATTTTTGGTTGTATTGCATATGCTTTAATAAATTCTCAACAACATCAAAAGCTTGATGGAAAATCTGAAAAGTGCATCTTTATTGGATATTGCTCTGAATCCAAAGCTTTTCGACTATATAACCCCACAAATGGCAAAGTGATTATCAGGAGAGATGTGGTATTTGATGAAAACTCATGTTGGAAACGGGAAAGCAGCAGTAAAAGTTCACAAGCTGTAATGGAAGATGAAGTTTTTCCTAGTGAAGGAGAAAGTGAGCTTTTTGTTAATACACCAAGCCACTCTTCAGAAAGCTCCAGTAACATCAGTCCAGTTCAACATTGATGGTGCCCGACTCAGAAGATTCTGATGAGACTCCTCCACAGAAGACTAGATTTCTTGTAGATATTTATGAAACATGTACTTTTTGCTTTATTTGGTGCAGATCCAGCTAGCTTTGAAGAAGCTTCAACAAAAAAGGAATGGAGGTGTGCAATGGAAGAAGAGCTTATGGCAATAACGAAAAATGGAACATGGGAATTGGTGGATCTTCCGGACGGCAAAAATGTTATAGGATTAAAATGGGTGTTCAAGACAAAATACCATGTTGATGGGAGTGTGCAGAAACGTAAAGCCAGACTGGTAGCAAAAGGATATACGCAGCAACAAGGAATTGACTTTGACGAAACTTTCTCTCCAGTTGCTCGTTTTGAAATAGTAAGAATCCTTTTAGCATTGGTTGTACAGTTAAAATGGAAAGTTTATCAGTTTGATGTTAAATCTGCGTCCCTTAACGGCGACTTGAAAGATGAAGTCTATGTAGCCCAACCAGATGGCTATGTAGAGAAAGGAAAGAAAAACAAAGTGTACAAGCTGAAGAAAGCACTTTATGGGCTTAAACAAGCTCCGCGGGGCATGGTACAGCAAAATCGACTCCTATTTTAGAGAAAATGGATTTGAAAGAAGTAAGAATGAACCAACTTTATATGTGAAGAAGTATGAAAAAAATGATCTTTTGTTGGTATGTTTGTATGTTGATGATATGATATATATGGGCTCAACGTACTCTGTTATACGTAATTTCAAATCTTCCATGATGAATAAGTTTGAAATGACAGATTTGGGATTGTTGCACTATTTTCTTGGACTTGAAGTAAAGCAAGGAGAAGATGGAGTTTTCAGTTCACAAAGGAAGTATGCCATTGATTTGCTCAAAAGATTCAATATGCTTAATTGCAAAACAGTGCCAACTCCTATGAATGTAAATGAGAAGCTGCAACTTGAAGATGGTACTGAAAAAGTTGATGGAGGCTATTTTAGAAGCTTAGTTGGAAGCCTGATTTATTTGACTCACTCCCGTCCTGATATATCATTCTCTGTTGGAGTTATTTCGAGGTTTATGCATAAACCTTCAAAGCATCATCTTGGAGCAGCTAAAAGAATCTTGCGCTATGTTGCTGGAACTATGGATTTTGGATTATGGTACTCTCGAT